CATCGCACCAAAAAGTAGCTTCCCCAAAAACCACTTGAGTGCCCCTTTAACGTATCGTTAAATTAATTTGACATTAATGTTATGTCTGTAGGATACGTAAAAAGTCATAAACCGTAAAAAAAAAAAAAAAAAAACATTTTATGCACGGAGGGGTTTCAACTTAGGGGTAAACGATGTATAGTACATTATACCTTGTTTAAATTAGCTTGACTTTTTACATCAGTTCGAAAGAGTACCGCAAAACCTCTTTCCGCGTGCGGTTCACTCAAATCCTGGACCTCGTAGCGAAAACAAGATGTCCTCTTAATTATTTACCGTCCCTTCATTCCACAGTCGTTGAATGGTTCTGAAGAATGTTTTGTAGCTAAAGATACTTCATCTGTTTTTACAGAATGCCTTTCGGTAAATACCGAAAACGTGGAAACTTATAATTTCAAAATTAAAATTCTGCAAAAAGAAAAAAAAATGAAAAAAAGCTTATGTGAGGAAAGCTCACCAAGCTTTTAATAAACCTGAAGAAAATCTCGGAATAGATTTAATGAAACGTCAAACTGACCACGGAGATATGGTGAAAATAACGTTCGGGAAAGTGGGGACGCGTCAGGGCCGTGGTAGCTACACTTGGAACTACAAACATAAGTGGTACTACTATTGACAGTGGCGAATACACACACACACACAAATATATATATCTATATATCTATATATATATATATATATATATATATATATATATATATATATATATATATATATATATATATATATATAAAACACGGCTCTTGTGACTGAAATGGCAAAAGCCGAGCTGTTCTCAGGAATTGAACTCCGTCTGCGTGTAAACACGTTCAAGAAACCGGTTAGCGTATTGGTGGGAGTCATGAAACAAACAAAATAATGAACACGTAATATGTACGAACGGAACTGACACATGTTTGAAAAATATGCCAGTGTCGTTCCTTGTCTTATGTGCTTATTTTTTTATTTGCTATAAAGATGTTTAGGGGCTGCATGACGCAACTCTGAAAGGGTGAGCGAGATGCTGATTTTCTCAGCTTAGTTTATTGCGTGTGGGTTAGTATGCGTACGGCTATTTGATGCATTTGACGATGTATTTGATTTGTTGGCAGAAAAAAATATGACTACAAAATTCGTTTTTTTTTCGTCACAAAGTCTGGAAGAAGTGATGCCTAACGAGCAATCGATTTTCAAAAATTGACGATTTTTGATTATTGACGTATTGCTTCTTTATTTTGTCACTTCTACCGCCCCCCCCCCCCCCAAAAAAAAAATCGGTGAATTGTACTTAGAATTGGGTCTACGCCCAAATGCTAGGTAGTTATTATGTATGGTATTACTCTCATTGAATGTTGTTGTCTTTCCCCGAATTTATTTTTAAGTAAACAGGGCGCAGCTTCGTCAATTTGCCGATTTGACTTCTGCGGGTTGCCAGATCCGCTTGTTTTTCTACTAGTTTTTGGTCGACGGGCGTGGTTTTTCACGCTCCAGGTTTTCGGCTACGGGAGGATTAGTTTTGTGTTCTTTATTTTCTATTTTGTAATAGTTGAATAGGTAGCGGACGTAGGGAAAAGGGCGTAGTCGTACAATTATTTTAGAATACAATTGGAGCATGTAGCCGAGGGTTCGGCCATCCGCATCTTAGGCGGAAGTAGAAGTGTGAAAAATGACGGGAATCTAAAGGTATTCGTGTTCGGATCCTCAAGTTAAATGCAGTGTTGAAAAATAAGTGGCCTCTTCCACGAACTGCCATTAGACGAGTTTTTAGGTTACAGATTGGCTTGCTTAACAAGTTGCCCTTCGAAGAATCGCTATTCGACGAATTGGCTTTTAACGATTTGGCCTACACCTGGTGTAAGCCGCTCACATCATTCAGACCTCACCCTTTTAGGCCTTTTAGGCTTGGAGAAATATTTAAATCTTCCGCCTTGTGAGGCAGTTTTCGTTTTCGGAGATAGATGGCGCCAAGCACCCAGGGATATATGCATCTCAAAGTAATCCTCGCTATTCCGTGGTGATTAGAAATAGAACCGTCATTGGCATTACTTTGAACATGGTTAAAAATCGCGCACAACGTTTACTAACTCGGCCAGCTTACTACTTTTCTATGTCATTACTTTATCCATACCCCTAGAGATTATAACAAGGTTCTGATGATATAGAAAATATCGGGGGTTCATGTGCCGGGCAACAAAGGGCATCTCTGTGCGCAAGCATTAAAAGAAAAGATAAAAAAAGTGATTAAAAAAAAAAAAAAAAAAAGAGCGGCGAAAGTAGAAATGTCTTAATGCGATCGTTTTCGTTAGTTATTTTTAGTAAGCTATTCCGCTGTAATAAACGAACGCGGATAGGCTCCGTGTCGTCTCGACTGCTGCGTAGTGGGAGGCAGTAAACACGTGGAAACAATGCTGGGTCAATTTTATAAGGCTATGATGAGGCGCCGCATGCACCAAACTTTACCCTAGTCGGAACCTGCTGTCTCTGCCTGTATGTATGATGGTTTTACAAATAAGTGTTTCCGGGGTTTCTGGGGTCTTGCAATTCACCACACACGGTGCTTCGGCTGCTAGAACTGCCTGTGTTCAATGTGTGTCGCGAAGGCGTGGTTTTTTCTTTTCTTTTCTTTTTTGTTATATTTTTGTTGGTGAGCATGCACACTTTTTTGGGGGGCGTATGTAAAACTTGATGAAAGTTAGACCGTCGAGGAGATGGCGGAAGATGTTCAGCCAGGTTAGATCATTGACGTGTTTTTGAAAACGGTCACTTGAGTGGTTTCGTTCCTTCCTTCCCTTGCTGCTCTTCGCGATGCTACTGCCTCAAAGTTGTCCAAGTTATAAATAATTTACCAACAGTGATGTTCCCACTTTTCTTTATTTACTGATAAAATAAATTCACAAACGTTCATTTGAAGAATAATTCTTATAAAAATGAACATATTACAATGCACGTACCAAGGCGTGACGGAGAATCTGATAATGTTGTCGGAGTTATCCGAACGATCTACTAAAACTCCCAGGTGTTACGTGCATTTCAATCGAATTTGACTACGACGAAGCTTCTGGACGTCCTCGCTATCCACACTCACTCATTCGACAACTGTGTGGGATATCTACGGTTACGTCAATTTACATAAGAGTCCATAATTTTTGACACCGGGCTCTTTAAACGATAAGTCGGGTAAGTCTGAGAATCGCATAAATAATCTCCAGTAAAAGCTTTTACTATTTTAAGAATCCTTTAATTTTAGACTCCTAGTCCGAAACGGCAGCTCATATTTTCCCCTAATTAGGGAATGCTTTGTCGATAGGTTTGCAACATTAAAATACAATTCTCTCTAAAACTCCACTCCTCCCCCCCCCCCCCCCCAACTCTTAATTTTTTTGTGTGTGTTTTGTTTAATGAGTGATGACCTGAAAAAAGGACGTCACCACAGGGGGGTTTACCTACAAAGTCTGATGTGATTACGTTTGTGACAGAGCTGATTAAGAGTCCTCAAAGTTACAAGTAATTTAGTTTGAGGACTTCCATCCCCGGATATGGAACGTTTCGCAGACAGCTTCTCGCATCCCCAGAAAGTATATTGGTGCACTGGAAGATCTAGGCGACACGCGAAAGGACGCCAAGTAATACCAAACTTAATGATACTAATGGCGACATGGAGTAAAATTGCCTCCTGTGGATCAGGATTTTACCTTGAAATAAAACAGCACCGTCTAAAGATTCAATCGACAGACGAAATTCGTGCTTGTTTATTTGTTATTTTACTTTCTCGAGTTAGCCATTCGTGATTTCTGCGATGTTCTTAAACTATGGCAGAGCGAAAGAGCTTAGGAAATACCGAATTCTAACAAGCTCATTGTTTTATCTTAACGCAACACACTTTAAAAATAAAAAGAAACTGTAAAATAAATAAAATAAAAAATTACATTTTAAATTAACTTGAAAAAAAAAAAACATATAATTCTATACCTGTTAACTCTCGGCAAAAGAAGTTCAAATAGGTTCCCCGCGTGATGCCTGACCGCTACACGATTCCTGGTTTCAAACACATTCGTCGATCACAAGGGTGAACTAAACACCATAATATTCTTCACTTCATTTTAAGACAGAGTGGGAAGAACGTGGATGACCTAGTAAACACACACACACCAACATACACACACGCTCACACACATGCACGCACACACACACACATATCCAGCATTGTCATTACTCATTAGCTACTTAGAGAAACGCGCCAGAAAGCGCATGAGCTCCAACGCTCACTGAGACAAAACAAGAAGTCATCGTTGCATAATTGACAATGAAGCCTCCCCGAATTCGAGTAAGCATCAGATCAAAACCATCGAACAGTCGAACATAAAACATAGGTTATTTTTTATACCAGCAGTTACAAGTGATCTCTACTATTAAAAATAAATATTGACAACAGAACACAGTAACAAGTAGCAAGGAATAACACTCCAAAGTCCTTTTGCAGCCATCATATCCAGCCCTGAAGACTCCATGTGGAAACGGTCTAACAAGAGACGTGGTGAAAGAGCAACACATCACGTGGCCATACGTACAACGATGACAAAGCACAAAACAGAGACACCACTCAAGAAGACGGTGGCTCAGGTGAGACCACGCTGAGAGCGGAGCCCAACGACAACAACCAGCCAGCCAGCAGACGAGCGAGGTCCGCACAACACACGCATCTCACCTGTCCTGGGTTCCCAAGCTTTCTCCTCTCCCCTCGCCAAGGTAGCGAAGGGAAAGCCTACGCTGCTCCCCTCGTTCCCCCCTCCTCCTCCTCGAACCGGTCTCCGATTTCTTTGTGACAGCATTCCTTTGCCGAAACAAGATGGACGCCGGCCGCGTACAGGAAGCCGGCCGACCTCGTAACGCCCCACTCCATTGGTCGCAAACGGGTTGCTCGCGTTCGGAGGACCAATCGTGAGCCGCGTTACATTCCTCCGCTCCCCCTCCGCTCGCTCAGGGAGTCCCCTCTCCAAGCGGTACCACGCACAGCCAGCGGTCACGAACCAAGTTCCCGACGGCGCTCCGACCGGCGACGAGGAAGACGAGCGGACGCCAAACTCGGCGTCGACACCGTATTTTCGGGCGGGAACAGAACGGAGTGCTTGTTTTTCCTTTCTGTATTCGTTTAGCCCGTGTCGGATTCCTGTGACACCGAACGAGCCATCGCCAGTGGTGCTCCGTCAAGCCGTGCTGGATGCTTTCACCGAGTGCTGTGTCCATGGAGTGTACCTGCCGCGTCCGCCGACGTGCTCTAGTGTGACTGCCCCGTCCACAAACCGGACGGTAGGGTGTTGTCCCCCGTCAGGATGAGCACCACACCGATCTGCCGCTGCCGGGTCCTTTATTTGGGCTCGGCGGTGCCGCACATCACGAAGGACGGCCTGCAGGGCATACAAGAGCCGCTCAGGGAGCTCTATCCCGAACAAGGGCCCCTGTCCGCTCGCGGCATCGACTCCTGGCTCAGCGTGTGGAGTAACGGCCTGCTCCTGGAAAACGTGGACGAGTCGAGGCGTCAGCACGTCCGCTTCTTCCCCATCGAGACCCTGCACTACTGCGCTGCCGTGCGCTACGTTGTGGTGCCCGGCTCGAGTGGCACTGAACGCGTCGAAAAGTTCCTGCCCCTGGATAGCCCGTTCGCGAGGCACGCCGGCCCCCAGCAGCCGCCACTGTTTGCCTGCATTCTTCGTCGGACGACCGGGATTAAGGTGCTCGAGTGTCACGCTTTCATCTGCAAGAAGGAGCCCGCCGCCAATGCCCTAGTGCGGTGCTGCTTCCACGCCTACGCCGACTGCACCTACGCCAAGCAGCTCGAGGAGAACCCCTACACCCTGGACGGGCCTCCAAGAAGAGCTCAGTCCGTGGTCGGCTTGGATACTGTACAGAAAGTCGAAGCCTGGAGGCATCAGCAGTCGGAACCATCGACGAGCAACGGAGTGGCGCACGCCAACGGCGGCTCCATTCTTCTGGACGATGAGACCGAAGACGAAGAGGGCAACTACAAGGTGTGGACTGGTCCTGCCCCCAGAGAGCTGGTCTACATGGATACGACGGGCACGCTACGCAGCGTCCACTCAACCACAGGGGGGACATCGAGGATGTCTCGACCCAGGCAGTTGGCGATACCTTCCCGGCCACCACCGCCACCGCTGCCCCCACTCCCTCCTCCCGGCTCGAACAAGACGAACGGCCATCATAAGGACACGTCCAAGTCAAAGAAGAAGTCCAAATCTAAGTCGGGATCGCCGCAACAACACAATGGCTACAGCGTCATCTCGGGCTACAGCGGCAACCACCCTCCCCCGCCCATGATGGTCCACTCCGAGAGGGCGCGAAGGCCTCCCGAAAGGCCAATGTTGTACAGCGCGGAGGAGCCATCTTACATTCCGGCGGTGCGTGCCATGAGCCCGACGGCATCGTACCAGCCCGGCATGTTTCCGCACGACCAGTACTTCATGCAGAACTACGGCACGTCATCGCGACCCCACAGCAACGGCAAATCCAGATCGGACCACGCTTCCAAGAAGGACCCGCATCACCATTCCCGTCGTAGCAACGGGGCCGCTGAGGCCCCCGGCGACGGCGACGACTCTGACTCGCCCTTCAACACCGGCATCTACAAGAAGAAGGGCCACCTCAACGAGCGCGCCTTCTCCTACTCCATCAGGCAGGAGCACCGCTCGCGGTCCAACAGCCTGGCAAACCTCCACTTTCTCAACGGTGGTGGCGAGACCGAACCCGGGCCGAACGGCCTGGACAAGAAGGACAGGGAACTCGCGCAGCTGGTGAACGACCTGGACTTGAGGGAGAATGGAGGATACCCGGGGCCCGTGCACAGGGCCGTGACTCCGGACTCAAACTTCATTCGGAAGAAGCCGTCTTCCAAGGGCTACCTCAGATGAACGAGGTGAGGGGCCCCGATCGCAACTCTCTTCCCAAGTGTCGCTGGTAACCGGCTGTCGCTCCTGTTGTCGCGGTATGCGGAAAGATGGGGGGAGACCCCGAGGGGGTTTTGCACGCTTTGCAAACGGCAAAGCAGGCTAGGTCGTGTCCCAGCGTTGCCAGACTCAAATGTATACCGCGCGTGTACAGAAGTGTCGTTGTTGTCTTTTGTTAATCTGTGTGTGTGCGTTAGTTGTGCGTGCCTTCAGCGGGATTTAGACAGACTGAGCATCTTTAAAGAAATGTTCAGATCTTCCTCACGATTGAATGTTCTTAGTCCGAAATCACAGCAACGAGCCAGTTTGTTCTGGATAGGTTTCTTCAGCTGCATTTTGCATGGCGGTGTCATATGGGATTTAATCAGTGCTCTAGCTCGGTGCGTGCACAAACTCAGTCACTCCCTAGCACCCTGGTCACTACCATAATCCTTCTTCTCTCGCCAAGTGTTATTCTATAACAACGCCAATCACGAGATCTGAGCCCTTTTATCTCAAGAGTAAAATTGTGGACATAGTAATTGAACGTAACTCATGGCTCCTACCCCGTGTAATCAAAATACTCCCGTTCCGAAAGGGTGCAATAGTCATGCCCTTTGTTGCGTTGATTTCTCCATGAAACGGTTATTTTTGCGAGGAGCATGGCAATAAATAAGTTAGCGGATGGCGCCTCCGCTCCACATACCGCGAGAGGGCCCGGAGAAAAGATTACAGCGTGCCTTTAATGGCTTGCCTTCGACATTGAGTAGAGGCAGAGAAAGGCACTCGACATGCGGGGCAGTTACTAAGGGCATTCCTGTGCATCTCCGACGTAAGCGACGCTTCCAACACTGACGCGAGTTCCTGTGGAATGTGGACAGAAGCGGCCAGTGACGTGCTTGCCAGAGACAGAACAATCGTAGAAACCAGTTTCCAGAGGCGGCACTTTGAGGGAAGTCTGCCTGCGTGGGTCGTGTGGTTGTAGGGATTCGCACTGCTCCCTCTGTCTTAGGTAAAGCCAGCAAGTGCTTACAAATTAATAGATAGCTCTTTGGGTTATACGGATGAGGAATGGTCCATGCTGAAGGGACAAATGCTGCCATGTGTCGGGACGGACACGCACGTACATATATATGTATATTATGTTTGCATTGTCTCGTTGCTGTGACCAAATGACGAGAAAATGTGCGAGCGACCGCTCTGTGTCCTAACAAAAAAGTGTAACAAGCTTAACAAAAATTTTGTCCTGTAGGACTATAGGATTGATGATGTCGTAATCGCTAAACAAGTGTTTTCTTTTTAATCGTGCATTGTTGTTGTTCTTTTGAAAATCGCGAGTGTTATGAGCGGACGATCGTAGCAAGGACTACAACGCCTCACTTGAATGTTACCGATAAATAAAAGTCTTCTTGGCAAAACGAGAAACGAGTCGATTTTCATTTACGTAATGTTAGGTCTTTTACGTAGCAAGGCTGTTCGAATGAAGAAGTTTAAGTGGGTTGATTGCATTAATCAGCTCACTCAAAATTCTGTGGGAGCGAATGGACAGTAATTTATTTTATATATTATGCGTACGTTATAATAAGTATTAATATAAGGTATTCCTGATTAGTTTAGTAAAAAAAATTCGAGATGAGATATTAAAAGAAAATCTACATAAAAGTACCGAGCTCAGTATTTGTATAGTTACAGCAAAACACGTCGCAGTTGTATCAATTAAAGTGTTAGTTTTGGAACACAACGAGACATAAGTCACTGTGATATGATCATTTGTTATTTAATATTAAAAAGTGCATAACCGCTGTTGTTGGGGACCACACAAGGAATATTGTAGGGGCTCAACGTTTCGCTAGAGCATTTGACAATTATCGTTTAAGGCTCATCGTCTCACAGTGGAAATGACGACGGATCTCTGCACTCGACACATTGTTGACCATTCATTAGAAGATCAACAAGCCCGAAAAGAGGAAGGCTTGAATGTCGTTACATATTTTAGAGGGATCTCAGCAGAGAGGAAACAGAATGGCCCGTTCATCTCTTTTCCTATCTCGTCGTCCTTCTAATTGGGAGCCGAGCCTTCATTAATTCTTAATCGATATTCCGTAGACGATGGAGCAGTACCATGCTCACTCTCTAAGTCCTGTTCTTGATGGAAACAAAGAACATCTCCTGTAGACATGCCATTTGTTTGCAACATGCTTTGCGAACGAGCGTAACCAACTGGCACGTAGTGCGCACGTTTGTGAACATACGACACCGTGGAACATGGATTCTGAATCCTTTCGATATCTAGGAACCACCATACCTTTCTCGACCGATGGCCGAGGAGCACTTCCCGGTCTTGGCGTTGATAGAATGCAGCAGTGTACACGATGATTTCCATACTCGGCTTACAAGTATGCATCACTGAATGGATCAAATCTTCAAAAAATGATGCTCATATGAGCAAAAACGCTTTACGGAGACGCGGGGGTGGTCGATTCTATTTAGTCAGGAGATCGGAAAGTTTCCTATGTTACACCGCTCTGCAAATACGTCCTACATAAAGGGAGTCTGAAGACACTGTCTGAGGTTTCTTCCACCAATGGTCCATGAAAGTAATAGAAGTCTTCGAACGACGATCGCTATACACTGACGCATTAATAATGCTGCAGAAGGAACACTCAGAGCAACCACGGCCTTCGGCTATTACCGCGGTCCCGAGCAGGGATGTCGTGAACTGTTTCTCGAACTTGACGTTGAATATCGAGGTGCGACTGGGTCGTGGAATCTTCGAACTCTTGGCGAAATTAGTCCGAGTTCGGCTTTTCAACTGTGTGGCCCGACTTCCACACAGAAATGTTAAAATATGAGAGAGAGAAAAAAAATATAACTCATGCGTTACAGTGACGTCTCGTTAAATGGTCACTTCCGCTCCTCCCCCCCCCCCCCCCCCCCCCCCCTTATCCAAAAGAAATAGAGCGTCCATAGTGTGAGTTTTCCATAAAAAAACGAGACAAACATGCGCCTATTGTACCCAGTTCGTACTCGTAAATGTTACCTATATAGTGCGGTACCATATATTTTCTTTGGTTCGTATTAAAGACATGACTGTAGTTCATTTTAAACTTCAGAAAATGAATACCAATGTTTGTGCAATATAAAGGCAAACAGAAAATCTTTTAATAATTTAGTTCGTTTGTCACCCCGTGTTCCACCAGGAAACCTCTGCCGAACGTGCGTCGAACTTTTGCGCTAGAAACTCTAAAAAGCCGAACCTGGTCGAACTTGACCACTGAAATGGTTCGCGACATTCCTACTGCCAAGGGACTTGGATAGAACCCCTCTCTTGACACCATTACATATGATCTGGTTTTCGAGACTGAAGCATCCGCGCGCAGACAATTATTGAGAGCCTTGATGTACGGCTCCGCACGAAAACACATTTCTTGCCTGGGAATGCGAACGGACGACGAAAAAAAAAAAAAAAAATAAAAAGGGCGACATAAGCGGAAAATAAAAGAAAAAAGGACACACAAACTCGACACTCGAGTTCTCTGACATCTGTCTGCTCTTGCTCGTGCTTTTACCGTGTCGTCCTTCCGGAATGGTGGGCTGGCCGAAAATCTCTCTGCTGTTCTAATACGCGGCGCCGACCGTTCTCGTAAAGTGGCACATCCCAGCAAATAAAACCGGTCGCTGGTTTCCAGAAAGTGGCCCGCGGATTCCACTAGACGGCGTGCGCGTAGCGTGGCCACCGACGTCGCATGATTCAGCACGCTTCCTGCCAGACGGGTCGAGTGCGCATGCGTCATGCCCTCCCTACCGCCTTTGTTGTTGTCGTTGTTGTTGTTGTCGGTGCTGTTGATGTTCTTTGTGTTTGTGTTTCTTTCGCGGCTTCTGTCGTTGTTGTTGTTGTTACACATTCACCTCCCGCCGCCGGCGAAGGGAACTTCCCAGGATCTGACTTTTTGTTGGATGGAAAGCAGCGTAAAATGACAAAGTTTGAGCAAGCACTTCGGAATGGCTGGATTCTGGTCGTTAGACTTGGGGGCCAGTGCGGACAGAGATCGCGTCTTCGTGTCTGTCTGAGATGGTATCGTGGCGACAAGATGAGTAAAATATCTTGTTTTGTTACATACGACCAGGACTGATTTTTTTTTTTCTCCTTTGTCTGGCGTGAGCAATTCTGCATCGCGTGATCGTGCACGCGAAACAAAGCGCCATTGAAGACTTGTGGGGTCGCGAAATCACTTCAATTCGGTCGACTGCCGGTGCACCGGCTGTTTAGTGGCCACCTAAACCTCATTTTAAGCTACTTATTCAGTCACTCGTTACAGTCTCGCGAACTAAAATCACCCCCCCCCCCCCCCCTCATTACCGTAGATCAAACACACGAAAGGGGTTGCTCAGTCGGCGAAAACGTACACAGACAATTGCAACTTCAAAAATTACCCGCGATCGAGAAATTTACTTATATAAACTTCCCACGCTCGAACGCATCCGAAGGTTTCTGATTACTTTTGCGGGCCACACCGGGTAGTCATAAGTAGTTCTTTTGTAGGCAGTCACTTACACACTCTGCTTTTACAGCTCGCCGGAAGAGGTTTTGCGCAAGTTTTGGCGAATACCTTCTGCTCTCTTTTTCGCCTTTCTACACGTTATTAGAAAACAAAATATGTTAATTTTGTTGCCCAGTTGTTTATGCGGAGCGTAAATTCGTCTGCTTCTTGCGCAGGGGGCTGCGGTGACGTCAGAACGACGCCGACTTCTGATTGCCTCTGGTTGAAGGGTGTGCCTCAATGCTAGATGCCTCGAGATCTACCCACTATTCTTCCAATCGGAGCCAATCAGAACTCGGTGTCGTTCTGACGTCAACGCAACCCCCTGCGCCAGAAGCAGACGAACTTGCGCTCGGCGTACACTGGCAGGTTAGTCTGTTTTTTTTAGTATAACGGTTTGTTAGTTGACAGTTTGCTAGTACACAAAACGGAACCTTCGTGTATTAGGATTATAATAATGCATGTCTGTCGACATCACGATTGACTTGACTAATTATAAAACATTATATTTTTGTTTATGCTAAAGTGTTAGATTTCGCTTTTCTTGTCTTTTTGGCGGCTCGTACACCTTCATCTCACCCCTCATGATTCTACAAATGATAAACAGTCTTTCACTGCGTTTTAAGCATTACCTAAATTAGTTATCCAAAAAGAAACAATTTAAATATACTTCACTGCCTCAAAACAGAACCACACTATTCGCCTGAATGCTACTTAGGGGACGTAGCATAATAAGCTAAAATTGCTCGATGTATTATTCATTACGATTAATTTAATAATTTGGCACACGTTTCGTACTACTGAGTCCATTCATTTGAACGCGGCGGAGTGGTTTCAGGAATATCATTTCGTCGAAACAGATGTATAAAGCAAAATAGTTTGTTGATTGGATGTAATCTCTCTTTTATAGTGATTGCAGGGTTTAAAATTGACCTTCCTCTACTTTCCTAAGCTCTAAAGACAGATCACAGAGCACCAGGAGAGCGGGTTTGTTCTCGGGGAGGCAACTTTCTGTTCGACTAATAACGACAATTACGGGCACCGAATCAGTAATTTCCTCAAACGTTCTTAGAGTATAGGGATGTATCCTCGCGCACGATACCTCAGTTTGAATCGTAATATCTGAGATTGTATTATAGGTTTCGTTAGAATCGTCATGAGCACGCACTCTGGAACATATGGAGCCGAAACCCCATAGAATAAGAGCCGAATAAAATTAAACAGACCAGGTAATTTTTACGTTACAACTTCACTGACCTTGTCGTCCTAGGCGTAGTTGCTCAATGTGCGACACAAATTGCCTGAACGCTTGATTGTCAGTTTCTCCTTTTCCTTTCACGGCATAGATTCCTGCCCCAAACTGTCGGTGTTGTGAAATTCGCGTTTGCAAAGCCCAAAGACTATAATTTATCTTATAAAGTCTGGCTTTCAACCGATAACCGAGAGGCGCAATGGAAGCAAGCTCCGACATTCCTGTCAGGCTAGCTGTGTCAAAGATCTTGAGAGGCTACCTGGCGCGCAATTCGGTTCATGACGTGTTTATAATTAAGAGGTTGCTTATCGTCTGACAAAGTTTCGCTGAAAACGGTAAGGCTAAAAGTCACAAGTATTGAAGGACGTTTGTTGACAACAAAGAACCGTTTTATCGTTGTCTGCAGGCATAATTTATTTCATTATTGTAGGACTCGAGATACCTTCGTGGAAAATATTAAACTTTTTTTTACATGACTGATATAAGGCACCAAGAGTTCTTTTCAAAATAAATGTTCGTTATCAAAGTATTACTTACCAAACGTACCCTCCTTTTCTTGTTTTTTATCGACAACGTAACGCGAGTGCATGCTCGTAGCACTTCTGGCACAACACCCTGTAGCAATTAT